CGTCAAATAAACTGCAAAATTCGTAGTAGTTTTCAAGTTATAGTCGGATTTAAATTCTCGATATTTTTGATTTTATCAGAAATTTTCTCGATAACTATTCATCGTAGAGCACTGAATTTTTTAATATATGATAGAAAATTCAATTTTCTATCCAACGGTACCAAATATAAGAGGTTAATAATACGCTTTTTTCTTTTTTTATGTCCCACTTTTTACGATCGACCTTTGGGATTTTTATAGTTTCATTTAGAATCAAAATTAACACTTACTGGTAGTTTTTTGTCGAGCCAAAATGTCAAATTTCGCAATTTTTAAAACCTTAAAAGTCATTCTAACTTTATAATATTAATTGACAAGATTGAGAAAAATTACGAGAGTCGATTGATAAACAGTCGACCCCCCAAAAAAATTGTCTGACATAAATTAATTCAAAATCTCGGTTTTTCGTCGACCAAAAAATCTCAAATTTTGGAATTTTTTCCTTCATTCATAACCCTACTATATGACGTAAAACAAGTGGTATTGTATAAAAAACATTTTAGGGGTGGGTTTTTCAAAGTGAAGATAACCCTATCGTGTCACCCCTCATACATCTCAGCTAAAAGCATAGATTTTAAAAATATAAAATGAGGTAGGTATTTTGTTTTTCCTAAGCGAGATGGAAAAATGACTATCGCCAAAATCAAATTTGACTAAACCATTCGATGGAACCTTTCATTGCGCAACTTTTTTGACATAGTTCATTTTTACGTGCGACGCACACTTTTCGAGATATTCACGTTCGAAATTTCCAGATTTGAATTTGCGCGCTTCATTGCAATTTGTTAAGATTGGTAATAGTCGGCAAACGTGCACACACGCTTGTATTTGTAGTTGCATAAGTTTTGGGGGTTAGAATCCGGTTTATGGCAATTAAAACGAAATTATTTATTTAACTTTTTAATTTCAATTTTTGTCATTTGAAACCATATTTTTAATAAGAAATTAAATAAATTCCGTGACCAAATAAAAAAGTCATCTTCCTCATTGTAGCAACAGTGTTTCTATTGCTTTATTTTTAAATTCAATCAAATTTTTCACTCATATCAATTTATTTTTGCGTTTTTTTCAAAAAAATATGGTTTTCTAGACGTAAAATTAACCGGAGAATACGACGATACCTGTAGTTTTTTTTAAAAATCACCCTGTTTAAAAATAAAAAAATAGAACAATTTTTAATTTCTTTATTTTTTATACACTGAATGCTCAAGTGTGATGCAACCCGCAACACACCATCCCTAATCAAAATATAACAATATAACCCATAATGGAATGTGCATATACTGGATTGACTTTCATGATAAAAAAATGTGCTTTAAAAATTTGTATAATGCGGCGTTTAAAAAAAAAAGAATACATCCAGTTAAAAAGACTGTTAACGAAATAAATGGACCCCTAATAAAAAAAAAATTAATCTCAATTTGAAGCATATTTCGACTGAACCAGTAGACGAGGCACTGGCAAAGGACCGTATGCACAAAAATCGATAAAACGTTTTTTTAAAGCTTCTCGTAACTCTTGACGCTTCTCGAATAGGTGTTTGTGGTTGTTTTCAAACTCCCACACTTCTTCCGGTGTTAATTTACAATTGCTGTCGTCTTCGTCCTCGCTACAACCCTGGAAAGCAAGACATTAAAGCACCGAATCTAGGGGAAACTGACATTAAATTGGCTATATTTTTTGAAAATCTGTTTTTTTTAATATTTTGGTTTTTATAAGTTGGCAACAACTAGGACTATTGTGATTTGACAATTTTGCTTTTTTAGTAGTTTTTGGAGGTCCCAAATCAGGAAACAATAATTTTAACACAATATCCTTTCGAAATATCAAATATTTTTTTAATAAAAATTAAAATTAAAAACAATTCAAAATTGATGTTTGAATTTAACATTTTAACAAAAATTCAATAGCTGTCGTCTTTATCGACATGGTAGTATTGTGATTTGACAATATTACTATTATTATTATTATATTATTTTTAATTGATATTTTGGTCTTGTTTTTGGTAATTAGGGCCTTTTAAATATTTTTGTGTGTTATTTAAATGATTTTGACACTTTTCTATAGCTCTACCACATCGATAAAATCTAGTGTTTCTAGTTATTTTTCAAAATTTCAGATCCAAAATCACTTTTTTTCACATTTTACTCCGTAAAATTTTCAAAATCGCATAAATAGATATTTTTTTTTAAACAAAAACCGTTGTTCAAACCAAAATTCTCAATTTTTATTGATTGTATTAGAAAAATCTATTGGCAACACTGAATTATTGGTGATGTTTTGAAAAATTAATGACAATTGACTATAAAATTATGACGTTTTTAAAATTTGACACTGACAGAAAAAAATCAAATTTCAATAACACACAACTTTATCGACATGGTGGTGTTGTTATTTGACATAATTATAAATTTTAATTGTTTTTAATTGAAATTTTGGTTTTATTTTTGGTAATTGTAACGTTTTATTGACGTTTTGTATATTTTCATGTTTTATTTTGTACAATAAATTAATTTTGACACTTTTATATAGCTCTACCACATCGATAAAAATCTAGTGTTTTTTTAGTTTTCAACATTTTTGAGGACCTTAATCAGTTTTTTCACATTTCACCCCGGAAACAATAATTTTGACACAATAAGCTTTCGAAATCCCATTTTTTTTAATAAAAATAAAACTTGTTCAAATCGTGTTAATTTTTATTGACAATATTAAAAAAAAACTATTGGGAATCCAGAATTGTTGGTGATGTTCCAAATTGACGTTTGAATTTGACATTAAAAAAAATTCAATAGCTGTCAATTTTATCGACATGGTAGTATTGTGATTTGACAATATTTTGGTTATTTTTAATTGATATTTTGGTCTTGTTTTTGGTAATTAGGGCCTTTTAAATATTTTTGTGTGTTATTTAAATGATTTTGACACTTTTACATAGCTCTACCACATCGATAAAATCTAGTGTTTCTAGTTGTTTTTCAAAATTTCAGAACCAAAATCACAGTTTTTTCACATTTTACTCGGTAAAAAATAATAATTGATACACCAAATGTTCAAAACCGCATAAATAGAGATTCTTTTGAAACAAAAACCAAAATTGCCAAAATTTATTGATAGTATTAGAAAAATCTATTGGCAACACTGAATTATTACTGACGTTATGGAAATTAATGACGACAATTGACTATAAAATTATGACGTTTAAAATTTGGCAAAATCAAATTTCAATAACAGAAACTTTATCGACATGGTGGTGTTTTGATTTCACAATATTATAAATTTTGGTTGTTTTTAATTGAAATTTTGGTCTTGTTTTGGGTAATTAGAGCGTTTCATTGACGTTTTAAATATTTTTGTGTGTTATTTAAATGATTTTGACACTTTTATATAGCTCTACCACATCGATAAAATCTAGTGTTTCTAGTTGTTTTTCAAAATTTCAGATCCAAAATAACAATTTTTTCACATCTTACACGGTAAAAAAATATAATTGACACACCAAATTTTCAAAATCACATACATAGATATTTTTTTGAAACAAAAACCAAAACTGTCAAAATTTATTGATTGTATTAGAAAAATCTATTGGCTACACTGAATTATTACTGACGTTTTGGAAATTAATGACGACAATTGACTATAAAATTATGACGTTTAAAATTTGACAAAATCAAATTTCAATAACAGAAACTTTATCGACATGGTAGTGTTGTGATTTGACAATATTACGAATTTTGGTTATTTTTAATTGGACTTTTGGTCTTATTTTTGGTAAATGTAACGTTTTATTGACATTTTGTATATTTTTGTGTTTTATTTTGTAGAATAAATTGATTTTGTCACTTTTATATCGATAAAAAATCTAGTGCTTTCTATAGTTTAATAGCTTTACTATTTTTAGTCCTAAATCACAATTTCCCCCCTAAACACAATAATTGTCACACTGAGTGGCATACATTTTTTTTTTAAATAAAAACCACTTCTCAAAAAAAATTGTCACAAATTATTGACAGTATTAAAAAATCTATTGGCAACACTGAATTATTTATTGATAATGAATGACAATTATGACGTTTCAATTTGACACTTCGATAAATACAACAACTTTATCGACACGGTGGTGTTGTGATTTCACAATATTACAAATTTTGGTTGTTTTTAATTGAAATTTTGGTCTTGTTTTGGGTGATTAGGGCGTTTTATTGACATTTTAAATATTTTTGTGTGTTATTTAAATGATTTTGACACTTTTATATAGCTCTACCACATCGATAAAATCGTTGTTTTTCAAAATTTCAGATCCAAAATCACAGTTTTTTCACATTTTATACGGCAAAAAATAATAATTAACACACCAAAGTTTCAAAATCGCATAAATAAATATTTTTTTGAAACAAAAACCGTTGCTCAAACCAAAATTGTCAATTTTTATTGATTGTATTGGCAACACTGAATTATTAGTGATGTTTTGGGAAATTAATGACGATTAACTATATAATTATGACGTTTAAAATTTGACAAAATGAAATTTCAAAACAGAATTTTATCGACATGGTGGTGTTGTAAAACATTTTTTTTTTAAATAAAAACCACTTCTCAAAAAAATTGTCACAAATTATTGACAGTATTAAAAAATCTATTGGCAACACTGAATTATTTATTGATAATGAATGACAATTATGACATTTCAATTTGACATTTCGATAAGTACAACAACTTTATCGACAGGGTGGTGTTGTGATTTCACAATATTACAAATTTTGGTTGTTTTTAATTGAAATTTTGGTCTTGTTTTGGGTAATTAGGGCGTTTTATTAACGTATTAAATATTTTTGTAGGTTATTTAAATGATTTTGACATTTTTATATAGCTCTACCACATCGATAAAGTCTACTGTTTCTAGTTGTTTTTAAAATTGACACTGTAAATTTTCAAACTCGCATAAATAGATATTTTTTGAAACAAAAACCGTTGCTCAAACCAAAATTGTCAATTTTTATTGATTGTATTGGCAACACTGAATTATTAGTGATTAACTATATAATTATGACGTTTAAAATTTGACAAAATGAAATTTCAAAACAGAACTTTATCGACATGGTGGTGTTGTGATTTGACAATGTTTAGTTTTTAATTGAAATTTTGGTCTTGTCTTTGGTAATTATGACATTTTTATATAGCTCTACCGCATCGATAAAATTAACGTTTGAATTTCAAATTTGTTACCAACATACCTCTAACATCTGTTGCAAACTCGGATGCTCTCCATCCCTAAACCTTTTCAACGTATCACCACCATCATGTTGGCAACACGTATCACACGCCAACTCTGATCCTTCTGGCGAACTTGAAATACTCGAAATAAGACTCGCCGTTTCACAACATCCATTATTATTCTCTGATGAATATCCATAATCACTTGATCCTTTTTTATAACCACATTTTTCCTCCTCCTTCTCCTCCTCACATTTACATCCATCAATCCATAATTTCTCACAATCATAATCATCATCAACATCATCATCATCATCATCATCATCGTCACATTTAAGCAACTCCTCACAACTATAACAACTCAAATCCGTTTGCGAATAACAATTATCCTCAAAATCCTCCTCATTACAGTTTTCTTTACCATCCTGTTCCATTGTTTTACCCTTTTTACGCTTACGTTTAATCTTTTTTTGTTCTTTTCGGATTTGTTTTTGTTGTTCTTCGCGTGCTAATTCCGCATAGAGTAATTCTAATTGTGAAAAACCGCGTTTTCGTTCAACAGCTGTTTCAAAACTTCGACTTAATGTGTCAACAGCAACAGCTGCAAACACCTGACAGGTACATTCTTCTTCGCGCATGCGCATATAGATGCGATGTAGACGCTCATACATGCAGATGCCGAGACAGGTGAGGACTTCTTCTTGGGCGATTTCAAGTGTCTTTGCGTGACGTTCTCTACGACTAAAATTAACACTAAAGTGTAAAAAAATAAAAAATTATATAAAACACGAGATGATTTTTACAGCCCTCGCTGCTACGCATTTCGGCTATAAAAAAAATCTCATGTAATACATATAAAATATGAGATGATTTTTACAGCCCTCGCTGCTATAAAAAAATCTCATGTAATATACTGGTTTTTTTTTACCGGAAACAGGAAACTCACCTTCCGAGCAATTCCGGTTCGGCACGACTTATCAGTTTCGTAATATACTCGGTATGAATGGGTAAATGGATGTGTTTATCGCGTAAACATCGTTTAATTCCAGAATATAGTTGGGTTATGTAACCTTTTTCTTTGCAAGGCTCGGCTTCTTCCATTAGAAGAGTATAAGCTAAAAAAAAATATTTTTTTTGACGTAAAAATTAGAAATTTGTTCAACCACTCTGTATATTTCATTAAGAAAATAGGAAAAATCAATAACCGATAGATGGCACTGGCAATGTCATTGAAATTTGACAGCCAGAAACGTCAAATTTTGACAGTTAAATGACAATTCTTTTCACCAGCGATTTCGCTTAAATAAAATGACAAGAATATTTTTTTTATTTATCATAATTATTAAAAAATATTTATCACACTGTATATCAAAAAACCGGTTAAATCAACTATTTTTTGTGCTTAAATTCAAATTGACCTGTAGCTTTGAAATTATGTTGGTAACACTGAATATAGAGAGAAGATAGTAAAAAATTGACAAATCTCATATCTTCGGTCTTTACTTACATTTTTCAGTGTTACCAACTTAATTTGACAGTCGCCGCAGACTACGTCCATAAAAAATTAAAAAAAAACATTCAAATTTCTAATCAAAAATTGACAACAATGGAATATATAGAGACAGAAAATATTTAAAAAAAGTCCTATGTTTCTACATTATTCAGTGTTACCAACTTAACTTGGAACAAATTTGAAAAAAAAAAATCAAGCTGCATCGTAATTACAATGCGTCAATCATTTTTTTTATCAAAGTGACCTGTAACTTTGAAATTAAATTGGCAACATTGAAATAATAAAGAATAATATAGAGACAGAAGATATAAAAATTGACAAGTGTCATATTTTCTGTCTTTGTACTATTCAATGTTGCCAACCTAATTTGAAAGTCAGAGGCTACTTAGATCAGAAATTTTTTGACCTATTTTGTGTATTGAATTGATTTTGACACTTTTATATAGTTCTACCATATCGATAAAAATCTAGTGTTTTTTTAGTTTTGCAACATTTTTGAAGTCCTAAATCAGTTTTTTCACATTACACTCAGGAAACATAATAATTTTAACAACGAAATCTTATAATTTTTTTTTTAATAAAGATAAAAATTGTTCAAATCGTGTCAATTTTTATTGACAATATTAAAGAAAATCAGCGGGAAACATTGATGTTTCAAAATTGACGTTTGAATTTTCAATATCTGTCAACTTTATCGACATGGTAGTATTGTGATTTGACAATATTACGAATTTTGGTTATTTCTAATTGAAATTTTGGTCTTGTTTTTGCTAATTGGGACGTTTTATTGACGTTTTGTGTATTCTTTAAATGATTTTGACACTTTTGTATAGCTAAACCACATCGATAAAATCTAGTGTTTCCTGCTGTTTTTAAAATTTCAGGTCCAATATCACAGTTTTTTTTCACATTTTATTCCGTAAAGGATAATAATTGACACACTAAATTTTCAAAATAGCAAAAATAGATATTTTTTTTTAAACAAAAACCGTTGTTCAAACCAAAATTCTCAATTTTTATTGATTGTATTAGAAAAATCTATTGGCAACACTAAATTATTAGTGATGTTTTCAAAAATTAATGACAATTGACTATAAAATTATGACGTTTTTAAAATTTGACACTGATAGAAAAAAATCTAATTTCAATAACAGACAACTTTATCAACATGGTGGTGTTGTCATTTGACAATATTACGAATTTTGGTTGTTTTTAATTGAAATTTTAGTCTTATTTTTGGTAATTGTAACGTTTTATTGACGTTTTGTATATTTTCATGTTTTATTTTGTACAATAAATTAATTTTGACACTTTTATATAGCTCTACCACATCGATAAAAATCTAGTGTTTTTTTTTAGTTTTCAAAATTTTTGAGGTCAGTAATCACTTTTTTCATATTTCACCCCGGAAACAATAATTTTAGCATAATAAGTTTTCGAAATCTCATATTTTTTTTTGCAATGTTCATTTTTTTAATGTACATAATTGTTTTTATTTAAATTCTTCTACTCCTATAAGATTTCCAAATTTTTATCAAAACATTTGCAAAATAATAATAATAGAGTAAAAAACTGTCAAACTTTTTCCCATTTTTGCAATATACAGCGTGTCCCAAAAATACCCACCTCTCAACACCTTCGTCCTGCACTCGCCACAAAACCTATGCTTGCGCAAATACGTCTCTAAAGTGGCCCTTAGACTGGGGGCTTCAATGATACAAACGTCTTTTTTACAATCTGGTTGCATGCAGCCCCACACATCCCGCCATATGGGGGTCAAGGGGCGACTACGTTGCGAATCCAACGAATGTAAAAGGCACCGGAGACTCTTCTTGCTTCTTTTCGGTTGGTTTTCGATTAATTTAGCCAAACGTAACCTAAAATTTTCATTAACAAAAAAAAAATCCCTAAAATATAAAACTTACGAATGGTCGTGAAAAATGGAGCAAAGAACTTGGGGCATGGCTTGTTTCTCGTCTATTGTGATTTTACCGTCGTCTTCGAGGACCATCAGGGGGTACAGTGTCGGATGTCTCAGTTTGAACAGTTGGTAGTACAACCGTTCAACACTAAAATCACCAACAAGACGAATTAAGTTGGCAATGCGCAATGTTGCCAACTGGAAAAAAAATAATTTACCTGCGACGACACCCCACACATGGCACGTTTTGGTTTAGCACATTCATCAGTTCCGATTTGGTGATTTCTAACGCCGAACGCAATTCCGTTTCGCTCAAACTCTCGCACTTCTTCGTGAACTCCTCCAACTCCTTGCCCCGCACCTGGGGGTTATCACACACGAGGCCCGAACTGCGCACGTCCATCACCAACTGCAAAGACAGGTTTGTGGGTTAATGGGGCCCCTCGTGGGGTTTGCACCTACCGTTAGGTTTTCATCGACAACAAGGGGCAACTGCCTCCTGCCGAGCGCTTTCGAGGAGCGATAGACGTCGACCAGCTTTGGCAACTTCTCCTTATAACTCATAGCTCCGTCGAGGGGGGCTGCACACGTCCTGGGGGCTCTTTCAAGTGAACTTTGGGCTTTTTTCAGCGAATTCAACGGCACTTAATCCACTGCACTACCACACCATTTTCTAAAAGTTTTGACAGATGACAGGTCGAGAAGTGTCAAATGGCCGCATGCGCACTAACGCTAATTATCAAAATTTCAATTTCAAATAATATTGGATAAAATTGCGTTTTTAACAAAAATTCTCCTTTTTTTGGCAATTGTTACGTTTTAAATCGTATTATGTGCCATTTTTTTGTCTTTATTTACGCAGCTATGAAAACTAGTGGGGGGAAACGAAAAATCCCTAAAGGACCCACAAAAATTAAATTATCAAATAACTCTTTTATTTCGTTACTGTTCATCATAAAATATAAAACTTATTACAATACCAACAGTACCTAACAAATGACCCTAAAATGTGCAAAATATTTTAAATAAAACCAGTTCAGGCCGACTTTATCGGCATGGTGGTGCTATAATTTGATAAAATTACGTTTTTGATGCGTTTTATAACGAAATTTCTCCTTTTTTTGGCAATTATTGCGTTTCAAATCGTATTATGTGCCATTTCCTGTATTAAATCAATTTTTTGTCTTTATTTACGTAGCTCTACCACATCGATGAAATCTAGTGGGGGAAAACGCAAAATCCCTAAAAGACACACAAAAATTAAATTAAATTAAATTATCAAATAACTTTTTATTTCGTTACTGTTCATCATAAAATATAAAACTTATTACAATACCAACAGTACCTAACGAATGACCCTAAAATGTACAAAATATCTTAAATAAAACTAGTTTATTGGTGGAAATCTCCCAGATCTAGTTTAAAGCCCTGAATAGTGATTATCATGAGTATTTCGAGTTCTCCTCGGCGAGAAAATCCCTTTATTTGGCTCACCGTCCTTCTGATCCCTACAACAACCCTTATAATCCCACCAAAATCCCTCAAAACTCACTTGAAGAAAGCCAAATGTTGCTCCAACAAAAATCGGCTATTGCAATGCGACAATTCGGGCCAATGTGCTAAAACACGCCTCAAATAAACTTGCAGTCGCTTTCGCCGGTCTTCAACCAACGCTGAATCCTGAAATAGCCAACACTTTATCGACCTGGTGATGCTATAATTTGACAAAACTACAATTTTTGACGCGTCTTTTAACAAAATTTCGGTCCGATTTAAACAATTCTTCGGTTTTATTGACTTTTTCAACAGTTTCACGTGCTATTTCGTGAATTAAACTAATTTTGTCGCTCACGAGATAGTTGTACCACTTTGATCAAATCTGGGGGAATTTACCTTTTTCCCCAAACTTTTTTTTGGCGGGAAATCAAACGCGGTCACTGCCGGATCAAGTTTTTTCAAGTCGGAATGCAAAGCGTAAAATTGCGCATATCTCCGATAAATATTCCACTCGTCATTGCCTGCCCTTAAAAAAATTTGATAAACATGATGGGCACTTGACCCACTTCCTGTCAAAAACGCCGAGGGGATCCACACGTTGACATTTCCGGTTTGTGTGTCGTCGTCACAGGGCCCCCGGAGTGTCTCCAGCTCGGCCTTGAGACGCTCCACAAGCTGGTCTTTCTGACACAGTGATTTTTGCAAAACCACATTGAAGTCCATCAATTCGGCGTGCATTTCGGCCACTTGGACTAATTTTTTTTCGAAAAGTTTTGCCTCCCCCTGATAATCGGGCTGTTGGTTGATGTCCAAATCCTCAAGTGTGAGATTTTCATTGTTTTTCAACATCTGAATCGCACTGACGTACTTTTTCACCTGTTCTTTGAGAATCTCGTTTTCTTTGGATAATTGATCGATTTTCTCTTGTTTTTTACTCAATTCCTCTTTATTGCGTGTCTCGACGGCTGTTAGGACTTCGCTAATGTCACTCGGGACTTCCACTTCGTCGAAATTCTCCCCGAGTTCGACCGAAATCGGTGTGAGTTCCCCGATTTCGGTGTGAGTAACCGGCGTGAGTGTTTCGGGGATTTCCCGGTATTTCTCACACGTCTCGACCGGTAATTTCCGTTTCGGTTGGTCGTTTTCGGCCATTTCCGTGAGTTTTTCCGGGGAAATACTGCTCGAAGTCGATGGGACACTATCGTCGTCATCAAACGAAATGAATTGTCGCGCCACCTTTTTCCGTGTCCTTGTCTTGGGGCGTTGACTCAAGGGGGCCTCGATGATGGGCTCCGCTCGGGTTTTGATGCGTGGGGGGCGTCCCGAGTTCAGCTCCGGTTTGTCGATACTGATGGCGAAGAGGATGGAGGCTACGCCCCCGGCCATGTTGGGCAACATGGAGCTCCTCTCCAAGTCGCGCAAGATGGCCCAGCCCTCATAGTGAGACTCCAAAATCGAGGGGTTGCTCAACAAAATGTGGAAATACCTACGGGGAGAGTTAGTCGAAATGGGGGCTATCCCGAGTTAAGTCACCGTTCGAGAGACCGCTCGTTGAGCGCAGCCCTGATCCATGCACGCCCCCGGCCTGTGTCGGTCCAAATCTGTTTCAAAACGGCGTATCTCTCCTGCTCGTGCTTCGTTAAATGTTGCCTAACGAAGGGCCAAAACGTGGGGGCTTCGCCCCTGGCTACTTGTCGTAGAGTGGGGCCTCGGAGGCCGTGCAACAAAACCGCTTCGAGTGTCACACACAGGGCTACCACACAACTGTCAAACTCTGTTGCTAGTTCGGTTTTTCCCCCATAGCGTTTTTGGCACGCTTGCACACACTCGAGCAACTGTTTCAGGAGTTTATCAGCGGGTTCGTGACTGTGGGTTGGTGTTTTGGGCGAAATTACAGCCGACATGAGCTTCAAGGACTGAAATTTGAACGGTTTTGGGGCTATTTCAGGCGCTGAAAACTCACCATTATTGGGACCTTGGCCGGTCATGGCAGGGGGGAATCTGACTCGAGATGGCATAACATTGTGATAAAACGGGTTGTTATCACCAGAAACGTGGTTTTGATTAAAAACACAAAACAGACACTGACACAATCAGCTGATAAGTGTCAACGTGACATGTCAGGACTCAGGGGTGATTAAATTGGCCCAAAAGGGGACAAAATGCCCCTAAATGACGCTCTAACACAACTTAAACTCACTCTCATGGAAAATTTACCAAAATTTGTGTTTGACTAAATTCGGTCAGGTACACTTTCGGTGTGACCGGCATTTATAATCCGGCCCGATTTTATTACAGTGGTTACCTCACCTGAAACGGGGGTCACAATAGAGTGGTTTAGGGGGGCTTATTGATGTATTAAAATCGGGGCTGTTTAATAATCAGTGTTTATTTAAAGTGTCCGAATGTGTTTAAGTCCGAAATTGTTAATTTTTTTTCAATAATTATTTTAACTGTGACGGGGGTTAGATCAGAGTGTCGCGGGTCAATTAGGGTGTTAATTTATTAATGTGGGGGCTGTTTAATTAGTGCCCGATTGTGCCTAAATCCGAATTGCAGATGTCAGCACTTCCGTTCAATGCAGTCTCGATTCTTTGATTTTTCATTTCACGTCAAGATGGCCGCCGGTTTGGTGTAGGAGTTGTCAGTGTTGTGAAAAAACGCAATTTTTTTATACAAATGTATCATTTATAGTTTTAATTAGTTTGTAATTAATTTATTCATTTGTGCTGTGAGTGATTAAAGTGCTTTAGGATGTCGGGCGATCGCGAAATTCCCGCCGAAGACAGTATTAAAGTCGTGTGTAGGTTTCGACCCCTCAATGATTCAGAGGAGAAGGCTGGCTCGAAATTCATCGTGAAATTTCCGTCAGGCGGCGAGGATAATTGTATTTCGATAGCGGTGAGTGAATAGCCCCCAAAATTGCGAGTGAAAAGCCCAAAAATCGCCTTTTTATGGTGGCTTACGTCATTTCGGTTGCGCTCCGTCGAGCCCCCGTTTCCCCTGCAAGGACACCAAAAAATCGGCGAAAATCGATTCTTTGCACCGGCCATTGTTTCGAAAAATCGATTTCCGGGACGCAATCGAGTCACCCGTGATTTATTTTTTTCACATTTTATTTCAATTTTGTACTTAATACAGTTAAAGAAATTCATTGTTACGGATTGTGGCCATTAAGACGTTAATTTTTAATGATGGTCACGATGGGTGAACATGGATTTGCACCATGGGTCAGCGCTTTTATTATTACCACCCAGGAAAAACAATTGAATTCTGTCAATTTATAATGTCAAATGTCAAATTTTCGGTGAAAAATCGTGGAAAAATAGAAGAGGTGTTTATTGATTTTTATCAGTTTATCTGTGCCGAATCGTTTAGTTAATGGAATATTTTATGTGGATAAAGTCTGATTCATTGTTTGATGATTAAAAATAAAAATCTGGGTTTTTTTTTGTTTTATTAAGTTGGCCCCTCCCATAGTTATTATATTTGTTTTGACAGATAACGAAATAAATTGAAATTAATCAAAAAATGTCACACTTGTATTTTGTTTACTTTATAAATGTGGTCCTCGTGCTTTATTGCATTTCATGATAACCAAGTTTAATCGACTAATATTTGTTTTTGAGTCAGTGTGGTGTTTTAGCATCTTTTAAAAAAATTTCAACGTTTATAGGCCTGTCTGTCACCGTGACAGTCTAGAATATACAGAGTGGCGTCAAAAAAATTTTTTTTTATTTTATATTCATAATATCAAACAATCGAGTAATTTTTTTTATTGACGTGTAAAAATTCTCGTTTTCAATACATACTTTGTTTTTTATTTAGTTTCAGTTTTTTTATTAATATTGGAACAATAAATTTTTTAATAGCTGTTGTTTTTTTTGCATAATTTTTTGTTTTTTTTTTGTTCAGTTTTTCTCAATTGTCTTCATTCGAAATAAAACAATGTTTTAAATAATGATAATTGAAACCGATTAACGGGAAAGTTATTAATTTGTGTATTTTTCAATTTTTTTATTCGTATTAGAAAGTTGAATATAGCCCAAAATACACTACAACATTTAGGAAAATTCTAAAATTGTCAACTTATACTATACAGGGTGCGCTAGAACTCGCGCCCCATAGAAAAGGTAAGATACCAGGAACATGGAAAAAATGTTAAAAAAATTTTATCTATAAAAATTTCGAAGTTATAACGGTTTAAAGTTTGCACTTTGACTCTATTTATTCCTGTTCGAAAAATAATTTTACAAGTTTGTTTGCTATAGGCTATTAAAAGAGGAAACAAGGAAGCTGTATCCTAAATTGTAACTCTGTTCAATGTTATTCGTGGCTTTTATTGGCAAAATTTTTGTCCCTTTACTAAATAATTGTAAAAAAACATATACAAGATCAGATTCAGTTTTTTAAACATTTTTTTCATGTTCCTGGTATCTTACCTTACTTGAAAATTTTCTCTGGGGCGCGAGTTCTGGCGCACCCTGTATTAAAAGTCATTTAATTAATTTTTTTCATTTTTGAAATACATGAAAATACATAGCGCCTGCCGTTTTTTTTAATCTCCTTGTATATAGAATTTAATTAGAATATAAAGAGAAAAAATCTTAGGACTTCTTATGTGAATTTTCAAAATATATTATGTTCTGTCACAATTCTTTTCAATTCATTTGAATAGTTTTTTTTTATTTTTTTTTACTTAATTTGAGTATAAAGAGAAAAAAAAGTTAGTCGGATCTGAATCGACCCATGAGTTAATCTTTTTTTTTTCTTTTTTTTTATAATATACTCCTTGCAAAATTAGCATAATTATCTAAAATAGAATAGATCCTACTTATCGACGTGCAAAAATTCACGTTTATGTTTTTCAAATTCTTTAATTTAATTGTAAAATAAAACAGAAAAAAAATAGGACGGGTCCGGTAGTAAACCTTAAACTTCTTATGACAACTTAAACAAAGTTTTTTTTTGCTACAATTATTCACTTAAATTAGTTTTTTTTATACAGGTGGTATCGAAAAACACAATTTTATGATAGGTCTTTTCTAGTTATACCACTCTGTATAGCAAAATTATCTATACATAATATCAAACAATCGAGTAGTTTTTTTTATTGACATGTAAAAATTTACGTTTCTTTGTTTTTTATTTAGTTTCAGTATTTTTTATTAATATTGGAAAAACAACATTTTTTAATTGGTTCTAATAAATTAATTAATAATTAAAATGTTAATCTGGCCCAGATTTTTTTTATGGCTAATACAGTCCGTTGTTTTTCTGTATTATTTTTGGTTTTTCTCAATTGTCTTCATTTGAAATATTACAATATTTTAAATGATGATAATTAAGTCCGACTTTAATTAAAACCGGTTAACGGGAAAGTTATTAGTATTTTACAGTTTTTTTTAATTAAAATTAGAAAGTTCCCAAAATATACTACAACATTTATAAAAATTTTAAAATTGTCAGCTTATACACTATTAAGTCATTTAAAATTTCTATAGCGCCTGCCGTTTTTTTATATCTTCTTGTATATAGAATTTAATTGGAAAATAAAGTGAAAAAATCTGGACTCATATGTGAATTTTCAAAATATGTATGTTTTGTGTCACAATTCTTTTCAACTCATTTGAATTCGTTTTTTTTTTTGTTTTACTTAATTTCAGCATAAAGAGAAAAAAAAGTTAGTCGAACCTGAAAACGACCCTAATTTTCATACTCCTTGCAAAATTAGCATAATTATCTAAAATAATATCAAACAATTGAGCACATCCTACTTGTCGACGTGCAAAAATTCACTTTTTCAATATGAATATATTTTTTAGCTTTTTTAATTTAATTGTGTTAAAAAAAAACAAAAAAATTGATCCGGTCCGGTATTGAACCTTAAACTTCTTATGTCAATTTTAAAAAAGGTTTTTTTTGCTACAAGTATTCATTTAAATTAGTTTTTTTTTATATTTATACTTAATTTTATGAAACCCAAAAAGAGAAAAAAAAAGTTGGCCAGACTCGGGCTCGAACCTTGGTTTTTCAGTTACCTATTTTTGCATTAATTTAAATAATACGGGGTGTTAAAAAAAGAATAATTTGTCCAAACCAACCAATTTTTTGTACGTGAAAATACTAATTGTCAGGATTTATTAGCGTGAAATGAAACATTTTTCCTTTATTTGTGTGTTACATTATCGTAAGTTTCATTACGATAATAAACATCTAATTGCTCTATAATCAGCGGTGATTAACATGGAAGTAGAGCAAAAACTGAGAATTCTAGAACTCGAAAGATGTAATTTATTTGTTATTTCCTAGACATAATAAAAGTCGTTTTTTTATCATCATTTTTGCGTTTGTTTTGGTGGGATTATCTCAGATTATAATTTGTTTGTGCGTTTGTTGACTAAAGGTTAATTAATTTCATCAAAAAAAAATATCACAAGATCGATCCAGGATCAAGGCTAAGAGAAATAAAATATATAGGGTGTTAAAAAAAGATTGTAAGATATTTAAGGAGGTAATAAAAATAAACAAAAAAGTCTTAATAAACATGGGTCCGCAAAGTAACGGTTTCGGAGATACCGAATGTAAAATTTTTAGAATTTCTATTAGAAGCATCACTTTTTTGTTTGAACAGATTGCAAAAAAAAACAATCTTCGATATCTCCGAAACCGTTACTTTGCTGACCCATGTTTATCAAGACTTTTTTGTTTATTTTGATCTATACTATTACCTACTAAAATATTTTACAATCTTTTTTTAACACCCTGTATATACCTACTGGGTGTCCCAGCGACTTGAAAAAGTCCATTACTGACCTTTAAATGGTAAAATTAAAAAAATTGTATAGGACAATTAATCTAGTCCATCACCTAAAATTATTTTCAACTATACAGCGTGTCTCAAAAATAAGTTACAAAACAAACTTGTGTTTTTTTAAATGAAACACCATATGTTTCTTAGCGTTTTGTATGTGTTATGACAATGTTTTTAAACTGAACTTTTATGGGTCGATTTTGCTTAGTTTTAAAAATAAGATGTTTTTTTTTTGCCGAAAACATGCACTTTTTAAAAATTTATTACACAAAAACTAATACAGCTAGAACAATTTTTTTCTTACTTCTGCAAAGTAGAAAGTACAGAATTTAAGGCTGTAGTAATTTTTTAGTGTTTTGCATTTGTAAAGATTAATAAATTAAGAAGTTTGTTAAAAGTTAAATAACTTAAAAAAATTTAATGGAACACCTTATTTTTTATTTTTATATCTAATAGATTGATAAATTGTCTATCTAAAAAAATAAATTTTTAATGTCTAGAATTGGTAAATGAAAAGATATTTAACATTCAATATTAATTGTAGCAACAATGCTTATTCGGAGATTGTAAAAGTCGTTATAAATATTGAAATTCAAATTATTTTATTGTAAAAATAAAGAATAATGGATTCAGTTTAACACAAATGTGATTATTAAGTGATATTTCTTCAACTGTGCACTTTTTGGTTACTGAAACAATAGTAATAATTTTTTTTTTATGTTTAACGTTAAATATTTTTTTAGTTATTGATTATAAACACCTAAAAGTAAATAATTTTAGAAAGACAATTTAATAATCTTTTAAATGCAAAAACAATAAATAGGGTGTCCCATTTAAATTTTTTAACTTATTGAACTTTTAACAAACGCCTTCATTTTTTTATCTTTGCAAATGCAACACACCAAATAAATGTTACAACTTTATAGCTTATACCTTTTTCTTTGCAGAAGTAATAAAAAAATTGTTCTAGCAGTCTTAGTTTTTGTGTAATAAATTTTTAAAAAGTGCATGTTTTGTCAAAAAAACCATCTTATTTTTAAAACTAAGCAAAATCGTTCAATAAAAGTTTAGCTTAAAAACATTGTCATTAAAATCTACATCTAAAAACGCAAAGAAACATATGGTGTTTCATTTAAAAAAACTTGTAACTTATTTTTGGGACACGCTGTATAGTTGAAAATAATTTTAGGCGATGGACTAGATTAGTTATCTATCAATGTCCTATATAATTTTTTTAAATTTTGCCATTTAAAGGTCAATAATGGACTTTTTCAACTTGTTGGGACACCCTGTATATGTATTTCTTGAGGGTGCACACATTGATTAGTTTTATACAGCCACACCTTTTCTCGTGTTTCTGCACCGTTTATTATTATTCGTCGATGTGCAACAACAAGAAAGCTAGAAATGCGTTTTCTGTGGGCGAAGAAAGCGCTAATTAATTTCACAGTTGCATTGTTCAACTTTCCATCGTTTTAAAATGAAGAAGAAGAAAAAAAATTAGATACAAGGATTTGGTCGCGTGTTTGGTGGAAGTAGGAAGTGTTATTTTCACTATTCTAGGACCAAAAAGTAACCTAACCAATCGATAATTCTTATTACAGAACGTTGAACCTTTTTGTGTGGGAAAAATTGTTTCAATATTTAATAAGATTTGATTTTTGTATTGTTTTTACTGTTTTCAATTAACATTGAAATTTTTCGTTTTTTTTTTGTTTATTTTGTGGAGTGTGGAGTGTTTTCTTTGCAATCAATAATCAGGCTTTGCCCTTGACCGTGCGTTCGTCCTATTTTGGTCCTGTTTTCTGTTTTGCAACATTGTGAATAAATCCAGGACACGTTTTATGAATTATTTAACGAAAAAAATGAAATCAAATTTCAAGCTTCGATAAAAGCAATTACAGTGTTGTTTTATAAATAGAACATGTGGAGTGATTGTATCAAAAAATTGTTTAATTTGATTTTGCAAAGTCACGATTCTGATATTTGCGTTATTACAATTGCTTTGGGAATCTTGGAGTTTCTCCTCTAGTTAAGTTAATTATAAATGAGATGAATCAGGAAATAACAGACGTTTTTATTTGTTTATTTTCGGTTAAAATGTAAAAGGATTATGACGCGTTTGAAAGTGATGTCAGGTATTAAAATAGATTTGAGATGATTTTATGATACTATTTTGTTTCGTTTTGAAATAATTTATCCAATTTTGGATTTTTTTGGAAGAAAAAAAGTAGCTCGGGTCCGGGATTGAACCCCAGATTTTTTGATTTCTGGCAAAATCCGTGTTTTTCAATTATGCTCGAGTCGAATAAATTTTCTCTATTTTTCAACTTTTTTTTGCTATTATTTAGAACAAAATGATTTTTAAGAAACGACAGTCTGTGGAATTTTTATTTATGGTCCGATTTTAAAAATTAAAAAAATACCCCAAATTTTTTACATTTCCAAGTAAAAATCGTGTTTTTTTTGTGTAATATTTCGTTTTATTTTGTACTCACCTACCAAAAATTTCTTGAATATAAATAGTAGATAAAAATTACTTTATTTCACTAGACGATAAAAGACTACTTTATCTACTGAAATTATTTGATAAAAGCACTATTTAACATTGAGTACAAAATAAATAATTTTTTTAGTAATAATTATATTTGAATAGAATAAAAAATTATCGAAAAGGAAATTTAGCGTTTTCCGATTTTTCAATCTTTTTTTGACCCCTCTGGAATTGAACCTCACACTTCTTATGTCAGTTTCCAGAAAATATTTTTTGCTAATTCTTTTCACTTATTTGAATTTTATTCTTCTGATTTGTTTCTTTTTATAATTTTGGGATCGAACTCGAACTTTTTTGATGGTTTGTTCGAAAATTCATAACCACCTTGTTTTTTTTATTTTTTTCTCCATCATTATTTTTTTTTATACAGGGGGCACTTAAAAAATGACACAACTCAGTGAACGGTGGTAGAGAAATGCCTGCAAACAACATACATAAACAAAAATATGTAATTAAAAAGTTATCTTTGATAAAAACAATTCAAAAAAAAAGTGTTTAATGGTATTGCTGTAAAAATGAATGATTCTTGAAATTGGATAAATATATTTTTTTTTATTCAGAACAAATAAAAACAATTATTCATCATTGGATAAATTGGGAAACTTGAGAAAATAATAGGAATTGAATAACTTTAAAAAATGAGTTTATCCATATTTTATAAAATATGGCTTCAAGAATTTTTTTCAACATTTTTCTTCTAATGGCATAGGCTTCTCAACGATGTACCACTGAGTTGGTGCGCTACTTTTTCACCGTCCCCTGTATATCGATTAATATTGGAAAAACAACATTTTGGAATTAATAAATAAGTAATTAAGTTATAAATTGAAATGAAAAAATGAAAAATAAAGAAGAATTAAACCTCAAATTTTTTGGGAACTTATACCAGGTGAACAAGAAAATATAGAACCAAAAAACGTTTTTTGCTTAAACTATTTATTTTTTGAAATAACTACATTTAAATGTGGACGTTTCTCAAGATTAAAACTTTTTTTTTGAGTTATAAAACCTTTTTTTACAAAGAATTACAACTACCTATATTTTATTCCATGTCTATCAGAAAAAAATTGTGTAGGTTGCTATTTGAAAAAAAAACACGCAAAATTTCAAAACACGATCACATTTTTGTGAAATTTTAATTTTTTTAATTATTTTCTGATTAAAAAAATACGCTTGGTTCCATTTTTGTTTCTGTATATACAGGGTGCGCCAGAACTCGCGCTTCAGAGAAAAATCCCATGTAAGGTAAGAACATGAAAAAAATTTCTACAAAAATTTTCCACTTTGACTATTTATTTCTGTTGGAAAAATAATTTTACAAGTTTTTTGCTACAGGTTATTAAAAGAGGAAACAAGGAAACTGTATCCTAAATTGTGACTCTTGTTTAATATTATTTGTGACTTCTATTGGCAAAATTTTTGTATCTTTACTAAATAATTATAAAAAAAACATATACAAGATCATTAAATAGACATAAAAAATGTCAAATGTTAAATTTTTTGACAGATAGAATTTTTTAAACATTTTTTTCATGTTCCTGGTTGGTATCTTACCTTACTTGAAATTTTTCTCTGGGGCGCGAGTTCTGGCGCACGCTGTATAGATTTGTTTCAAATTTGAAATACTATACAACCAAAATTACACAAACAAGCACACTTTATGGACGTTTTCATGACATAAGAGTCTTAAAAAGTACTTCTTTAGGGACGATTTCGAACAATATGTATAATATACTTTTTTTATTTTTCTTATTTCACGTTTCGTTGGAACAGAACGAGAAAAAAAAGTGTTACACATTTTTACAGTCGCATGTTCTGTAATTGGATATTACGTAAAACGTTAATTATTGATCCTTGTGTTGTAAACAAACCGGGTCAATTTTTTCACGATTATGACTCACACATAACATTTCAGGAAGTGTGTGTAATGAATATAATCATTAATTTTTTTTTCAGGGTAAAGTCTACTTGTTCGACAAGGTATTTAAACCCAATGCAACACAAGAAAAAGTCTACAATGAAGCGGCTAAAAGTATCGTTTCTGACGTTTTGGCCGGTTATAATGGCACAATTTTCGCATATGGTCAAACCTCATCGGGTAAAACCCATACAATGGAAGGTGTCATAGGTGATCCACAAAAACAGGGTATAATACCCCGTATAGTCAACGATATCTTCAATCATATTTATGCAATGGAAGAAAATCTTGAATTTCACATCAAAGTCTCATATTTTGAAATCTACATGGATAAAATTCGAGATTTATTGGATGGTAAATAAATAAAATTTTGGTTGGGTATTTTAACTAATTTTTTTTCTTTCTAGTTTCCAAAGTTAATTTATCGGTGCATGAAGACAAAAATCGTGTTCCTTATGTGAAAGGTGCCACAGAACGTTTCGTATCAAGTCCTGAAGAGGTTTTCGAATCGATCGAAGAAGGCAAATCTAATCGACATATTGCAGTAACAAGTATGTTAATTAAATACAGGATGTTCCGTCTAAACCTCACATTAAAAGTATTGCGAGTTTGAATAATCATATTTGTTTGAAAATTGGTACATACTCATAATTCATTAATTCCTCCTAAATGAAAATATTTTCAAGATGGCGGCACTTCCGGTTATACCGGAAGTCGGTCTCAACTTTCTTATTTTAAATGGAAAGGTATATTTTTTATTGCGTTTTTGGATAAATCTTTTTATTTTAAGGGAGTTTTCATCAGCTTTGAAATTTTGGAGTTTTTCAAAAAAAAATTGGATCTGCACCTTTCACTTTAAAAATCGGTAACTCTGCTATTTTTTAAAATTTTGAATTCGTTTTTTTGGTGTTTGAAAGAGAAAGTTTAGATCTTTCTTCCGGCATTTTCAAATTTTGAAAAAAAAAATTAACAAACCATAAAATTTTAAGATTACTTTTGTAATAATTCAAATACCCATAACTCAATTTTTTCAAATGAAATACCCCAATTTTTATTTTACCGAATGGAAGAGAATTTAATTTTGCATCGATTTGTATTTACATTCCCTATACCTAAATTTAATAATTTTCAAGTTATGGTGACTTTTTGGTAAGACTACAGAAAATTTATTACTAGCATAGTTTGCTATGGAAGTCAAAAATGTCAAAATTTTCTCGAAAAAACGTCAACAGTAAATTATTATTTGACAAATAGTGCAAAATAGTGTCAAAACTACTCAAACTTAGATTTAATTAATTTATTTTGTATTTATGGAGAGTGTAACAAAATTATAATGTCGTTCATTACACAAAAATAAATTTTTCTCACTTGTTAGCTTTAAATAATGATCGCATGGTAAAACCTATCAAGTTTTCATAACTTTGATTGCTAGTATGGCTAGTAATAAATTTTCTGTAGTCTTGAAAAAAGTCCATAACTTAAAAATTATTAAATTTAGGTATAGGGAATGTTAATACAGATCAATGTACAATTAAATTCTCTTATATTTAGTAAAATAAAAATTGGGGTATTTCATTTGAAAAAGTTGAGTTATGAGTATTTGAATTATTACAAAAGTTACCTTAAAATTTTGGGATATGTTTTTTTTTTTTTTTCAAAATTTGAAAACACCAGAAAAAGGATCTAAGCTTTCTCTTTCAAACGCCAAAAAACAAATTCAAAATCTTAAAAAATGGCAGAGTTACCGATTTTTAAAGTGGAAGGTGTTGATCTAATTTTTTTTGAAAAACTCCAAATTCTTCAAAAACGGTTCAATTTAGGTGAAAACTCCCTTAAATTAACCAGATTAATCCAAAAACGCAGTAAAAAACATACCTCTCCATTTAAAATAAGAAAGTTGTGACCGACTTCCGGTATAACCGGAAGTGCCGCCATCTTGTAAATATTTGTATTTAGGAGGACTTAATGGTTTATGGTTATGTACCAATTTTCAAATAAATACGATTATTCCAACTCCCAATACTTCTAATGTGGGGTTTAGAGGGAACACCCTGTATTTTGCCTAAAAAAAAAAATTCTCGTTCTTTTCCCCAGATATGAATGAGCATTCGTCACGTTCCCATTCAGTATTTTTAATAAACGTCAAACAAGAGAATTTAGAAAATCAGAAAAAATTATCAGGAAAATTATATTTGGTCGATTTGGCTGGTTCAGAAAAAGTTTCAAAAACCGGTGCTGAAGGCACAGTTTTAGACGAAGCAAAAAACATAAATAAATCATTATCAGCACTTGGTAACGTTATCAGTGCCCTTGCTGATGGAAACAAAACCCATATACCTTATCGTGATTCAAAATTAACCCGAATCTTACAAGAATCATTAGGTGGTAATGCACGTACAACAATTGTTATTTGTTGTTCACCAGCAAGTTTTAACGAATCTGAGACAAAATCAACTTTAGATTTTGGTAAACGTGCAAAAACCGTTAAAAATGTGGTTTGTGTTAATGAGGAACTCACCGCTGAAGAGTGGAAACGTCGTTATGAGAAAGAAAAAGAAAAAGTTGCACGTCTTAAAGGCAAAGTTGAGAAATTGGAGAGTGAATTGCAACGTTGGCGTGCTGGTGAAACTGTCAAAGCTGAAGAACAAGTCAATTTGAATGAAATAACGGAAGTTGTGACTCCGGTTTCCGGTGTTGAAGAGACAACAGTGGAAAAACAGGGACCTGTACCGGCAACACCGGCCCTTATGATTGGTTCAACACTCGATGTAGAAGAACGAAGAAAATTGGAATTGGAACGTGAACGACTCTATCAACAATTGGATGAAAAAGACGAAGAAATCAACGAACAAAGTCAATATGTTGAGAAATTGAAAGAACAAATGTTGGAACAGGACGAGTTAATTGCGAGTACACGACGCGATTATGAATCACTTCAAGCTGAAATGAATCGAATTCAGCAAGAGAATGAAAGTGCAAAAGAAGAAGTTAAAGAAGTGTTGCAAGCACTTGAAGAATTAGCAGTGAATTACGATCAAAAATCGCAAGAAGTTGATGCAAAAAATAAGGAAATGGAGAGTTTATCCGAGGAGTTGATGCAAAAACAAGCCAGTTTGAATACCACCACAACTGAATTGCAACAATTGAGGGATATGTCGAGTCATCAAAAGAAACGAATTGCTGAAATGTTGAGTAATTTACTGAAAGAATTGGGTGAGATTGGATCGACTTTGGGTAGTGATGGGTCTGAAATTAAAATAACTAATGATGCGGCGAAACTAGAAGAGGAATTTACAGTTGCACGTTTGTATATTTCACGTATGAAAAGTGAAGTTACGAATTTGACACAACGTTTGCACGAAATTGAGAATAAAGAGCAGGATAGTAATAAGAAAGTTACTGAGTATGAGAAGGAGTTGGGAGAGTGTCGTTTGTTGATTTCGCAACATGAGGCACGCATGAAAAGTTTACAGGAGTCGATGCGTGAAGCTGAAAATAAAAAACGTATGTTGGAGGAAAGTGTTGATGCGTTGAGGGAGGAGTGTGCAAAACTGAAAGCTGCTGAACAAGTGAGTTTGGGGGGAATTTGGGGGATTTTGATTGGTTGTTTGTTTAGGTTTCTAGTGCTAGTGAGAGTGAGAAGAAAGAAGCAAATGAGTTGCGATTGGCTCTTGAACAACAAATGGACCAATTACGTGTCGCGCATCAGAAACAAGTGGCAGCGTTGAGGGATGAAATTGCTGAAAAACAACAATTGATCAATGATATTAAAGAGTGAGTCCTGAAATTGTGTGGTTGTTTATTTTGGTGGTTTTTTTTTTTCAGTTCAAATCAGAAGTTGTCGCTCGCCCAACAACAGTTGCAGTCTGAATATGAGAAAGTCAAGATGGAAGAAGCTGAAAAATCGCTGAAATTACAGGAGCTCATGTCAGTAGACGTTTTAAAGTGTAAACGCTCATTCCCGTATTGTCCCAAATCCTCGTCTAACCCTTCCTGGGAGAAGTTTTTGCCTTATAAAAATCATTCAGTGCCTAAAAATGCAAAAAATGCGTTGAATAATTTCACAAAATTGACGAAAAATCAATGTACGATGTCGATTTTTCACATACATACGTTCCATTTGCATTTGTTTATTTCTTTAACGTTGTTATTGGTCACACATAGGTGTCCACAATATCTAGTCGTTGTTTAAACTATAAAAATGAAGTATTCTAGTCGCGATTTTATTGTGATAATTTCGATTTGGAACAGTAATCCATTCCTTTGATACGTGATTTTTCCTGTGATTTTTTTATTAATTTTTTTGAAAAATATTTCGTATTATTTTTTTTTTTTTGGCCTAGTCACATCACGCCACTGTTTGGTTTTGAGTTTTATTTTATAGCAATAACACGTCTAAGTCGGCTAGTGGTTTTACGAAACAAAACAAAGCACAGTATTTTGTATAGTTTTTGTGATAAGGCCATTTAAACGAAAAAAGTTAGCCGCATTTAATAATAAAAAAAAATGTTGGTATAGTTATCGACAACGTATACCACGCTATTTTCACACTGACTATAGTCATCGACAACGTATGTCTCGTTATTTTTTATACAGGGCGCTCAAAATGTGGTAGGTTTTTGAAAATATGAATTTTTAATGGCAACATTGCAGTACATTTTTGACCACCTTGTGCCTGTATTCAATTATGTGAAACGTTTGTTACTATAGAAACCAACAAATTTTTGATGTGTTGTTGCCAAATTTACTTCTGTAGAAAATGTCGATATTTTTTATGCACCTTTTACTTTATTTTTTTTTTAATATTCTGAATTCATGTTTTAATGTTTCTTGTCGGCCAACTGCTTTGTTTTTCAAGGTAGTTACGTTTTTTTAACAAATAAAAAATAAAATGTTTTGAGTTGTGAAATAAATATTAAAAAAAATAAATATCATAGTTGGCCGATGATTTTGAAATTTGGTATACGGGCCTAAATGTTGATTCTGAAATCTTTTCTTAATAATTTTTTGGCGATTTTGCCACATAAAAGGCACTTTACAGAAAAATAAGTTTTTTTGAAAATTTCCATGCCATACTTGATTTTTCAAAACTAAAATTATGTTAGAAATTAGTCAGGATTAAACCCCAAAAATAAAAATTTAAAGCGAGAATTTTTTATCTTCAACAAGAGTCGGTGCACCTAACAGGGAACACACTGTATACAGGGTGTGCCAGAATTCGCGCCCCCAAAAAAAAATTTCAAGTAAGATAAAATACCAGGAACATGGAAAAAATTTCTATCTGTCAAAAAATTTTGAGATTTGACATTTTTTGTCTAATTAATGATACTGCGAGAGTTCCAGCGCTTCCTGTATAGGTAAATAAAAATAAAAAAAAAAATAAGTGTAGCAACGTTGCCTAATAGTTCAACAGTAAAAAATGAATGTTACTTGACACCTTAGCAACCGTTTCCATGGAAATAAACATTGTTACCATGATAACAGTTAAAATTAATACAGTGTTGTCATATCGTCTCAAATTTTAAAAAATTCAAAAACTGATAGTGAAAGTAGATGCAATAATTTATCATAAAATATGAAAATTTGAAAACCAGAAATCGGTACAAAATAATACTCTTCGTATAGTGTGCTTGCAAAATTTGAAATTCGTAGCTTTTTCTGTTTAGGAGATATTAAGAAAAGATGGAAACAAATTTCAAATTTTGGCGCGTTTTTTATCTGGTAAGGGAGCGTTTTTGTACATTGTTTATATGACAAACCCACACTATTTTCGTGTATTTTGGTATACCTAGATTTTCGCGGGTAAAAACGTGACTACCCTGTATATTAAAATTATTGATAAGTGTGGCAACGTTGCCTAATGGCTCAATAGTAAAAATGAATGATTCTTGAAACCTTAGCAACCGTTTCCATGGAAATATACATTGTTACCATGACAACAGTTAAAATTAATACCACAGTGTTGCCATATTGCCACAAATGGTAATTTTTTGCCCAAAAATAATTAAAAAAAAATTTGTTTTATCTTTTGTGTGCCTTGTATAAATGAAGTCTAATTTTTTTTCTTACTAAATCGCGGCTTATCACCGGTTCTGCATATCACTGTATAAAAACGCAAAAAAAAAAAAAAAACAAAAAGCGACAATAGCGAGCTCAACTTTGGTTCTAAGTGGTCTTGTAGTATTATTGTATAAAATAACAATGTAAATAAGAGAGTGTTAGTTGTAGTGTATAAAAAATCTGCATATTTTAAAAGCAATTATTTTTAAAATTCTAAATGGTAGTTGTTTTAGTAAAATTGTTGACTATTTTTAAACCTTTACACACCTGTCTGTGTTATGTGTTTGTTTTTGTTTTCGTTTTTTGTTTTTGCGAGTAAGCGAGTAATATTTTTGGTTGCCGTGTGAGAGAGAAAAATAAAACCTGACCAAACAAATAAATCCGTGAGCGTGGTGTGGCTTGAATGCTGAAAAACGCTGATGGAGATATATAATATTCTGCAGTACTACCAACGAACGACGCGAACAAGCACGAAAAGATCTACGTGGATTGGAAGACACCGTCGCCAAGGAGTTGCAAACCCTTCACAATCTTCGAAAATTATTCGTCCAGGATTTACAGGTAAAAACAAAAAAAAAAAGATAGAAAAAATCTTGTATACAACTCGTATTGTAGGCACGAATGAAGAAAAATCTCTCGGCTGAAGATAGTGAAGAAGATGGTGGTTCGTTGGCTCAAAAACAGAAAATCTCATTCTTGGAGAATAATTTGGATCAATTGACGAAAGTCCATAAACAATTGGTGAGAGATAATGCCGATTTGAGGTGTGAATTGCCCAAGTTGGAGAAGCGGTTGAGGGCCACAATGGAGAGGGTGAAGGCATTAGAGACGGCCCTTAAGGAGGCCAAGGAGGGGGCTATGAGAGACCGCAAAAGGTATATACTTTAAGTTTGTTGCTCCACTCGCCGCTACGTGGCTCGTGTTGTTCCAGATATCAGTTTGAAGTGGACCGGATTAAGGAGGCGGTGAGACAGAAGAATTTGGCTCGTCGGGGCCCCACTGCAACTATTGCTAAGCCAATCAGGTCGGGTCAACACCATGTTATGGTCAGTGGTCCTACTATTCGTACTGGGGGCCAGAAAAATATGGACATTGCGCGAAAACAACGCGATTCACTTGTCATAAACGAGAAAGATGCATGTGAGTGATTTTTGGTTGTTTTTTAATCGATTTTGATTTTTTTTTTGATTTCAGAAAAAACATGGGATACCAAAAATATTGCGTATTTTTGTGCTTACTTGCTTAGTTATTACTAGAATTTAAGGTGCACTTAACGACAAATTGTTTCTTCGAGTTTTTAGTGCAATAAGAAATAATTTGTGATTTCTGTCGCTATATCGCATTATAATCATGGTGGTGTAACGATTAAAATTTTTCCAGGCTTAAAAAAAAACCGTGTCTTGTAATATAAAAGTGGCATTATTGTTTTCGAGTAGTTGTTCCCCCGAATCAAATGGTCTAATTAGCACGTTTAGAAAATTAAGTAGCACATTTTACACATACAACTGGATTATTTGTATAGCCTGATTAGTTTTGTATAAATTCGTTTAAGTAATGATATATTTTTTTATTTTGTTGTTTTTCTCAATGGTGCGAAATCAGACGATTTGCTTGACTGGTGCAAGTGAAAATCGCTCTGATCCAATCTGATTTCATTGTGATAAGTAGCAAAAAGTTTCTGTTCTTCCGATTGGTTGCATTTAAAAATGCGTCACAAGATCATTAATTTATTTGTTTGTAGATAATTGTTTAGTGACATTTGGAACAGCTGTAGTCGTGTTAGTGGATGCTTGAGTCAATAATGCAATTTATTTATTTAAATGATGGAAATTATATTCTAATAAACTAATACAGATTATTTGTTTCGTCACCAACCACCCTTTTTAATTGTTGCGAATGCCGAGGGCTTGCTCCAATTCGGCCCTTTTCTGCTGCACCTTGGTGTAGAAATACCGACAAACGGCCTCCTGGGCCCACGGCTGGTAGAAGAAATCGGAGCGGCGCTCCTCCTCCGGGTTCCCCACCACGTCGGTCATACACTAGAACAAACGTGCGGAAAATGCCACTTTTCCACTCTAGTACAAAAAAGCTCACTTTCCATACCTTCAAATCCCGGGTTTGCGACACGATCCACTTGTAGATAAACTGTTGGGGGTCCTTGGCGAAACTCAGGAAAAATTCACGGTTGGTTTTCAACTGATTTATTGTATCAACCGTTTCGTGGATTTTCGCATCCAAGCCTTGGATTTCCTGCTGACTGGCAGTACTCAGCAGGAAATTATTCATTTGCGTTTTGAGCGTATCATCAACCTCGACATCGATATCATAGCAGGCGGTTTGTTTGCTCTCGGCCCCGCCCTCCACCGAGATCACGTGATTGATGACGATGGGGTCGGGTGGGTGGAGCAACGGGTTGAGCCTCTGGGGGATTTCCGCGAACTTCATCCTGGGACAGCCGAAAATCTGCTCGAGGTATTTGTCGCAGACGATGTACTCGCGCTCGTGGGCGTCCTGGAGGCGGTGCGTCTTGATGTACTGCCATAGGGCGGAGATAATAACGGGGCGTGTCTGCGTGTGCACGCCTAGTAATCGGGCCAATCGCGGGTCGAGTTTGAACTGGAGGGGCTGGTAGTCGAGGAGGAGGAGGATGGTGCAGCGCACGTTCTTGTCTCCGGGGCGCTTGACTTGAAACCCGTCGGTTTCCTGCGTGGTGAGCGTGCGGTGCCACTCCACCAGGTGGTTGTCGGGGCCGTAGAGCTCCTTGTCCAGCTCGATCACAAGCGACTTGAAAAACGACGAGAATTTGCGTTTGACCTTGTTGGGGTCGCTCTTGGAGTCGTCGAGCAGCCGGCCCTCGACGCGCAGCTCCCACGAGGCCACCGACCCCTCCTGGCCCGGCCCCTCCGGCCCCTCGGCGCACGCCTCCTTGGCCGGATAGAAAGTGTTCGAGATGAAAATGCGCAATTTGCGCTTTTGTTTCATGGGCCGTTTCAGCGCCTCCTGGATATCCAAGCGCTTGCGCATGATGGTCGAGTCCAATTTACGCTCAAAAGCGAGCAAATCCATGTAGGCCTGACTCTCGGGGACCAAATCTCGAACCTTCTGGGGGAGAATCTTGTCGGAGAGCTTCTTCTTCTTTTTAGCCCCGTGGGGGTAGTCGCTCTTTGCCTGCAGGACGGCCCTGTTGTCAGGGGGGCGCTTCACGCCGGGCTGCGGCGGCATAGGCCCCCCGCGCATGGGCGAATAGGGGGCTTGCGGCGGGCGCGGCATCATAGGCCCGGGCTGGGCCCCCATATTCGGGGGCGGTGTGTTGTACCCAGCCCGCTGCTGTGACGAAAATTAGTAAATTGGGGCGGAAATGGGGGTACTCACCGGGAAAGTCTGGGCTGGGTATTGGCGCATTCCCGGGGTCTGAGGCGGCGGGTAACGCTGCGGAGGGGGCCCCACAGGCCCCTGGGGCGGCACGGGGCCCTGGAAACGCTGGGCCATCGTTTTTTTTCACAAACAAAATAAAAGCTTCTGGTTGTGATTCGGTCTTGTGCACACAATGGGCGTGTCGCCGAAATTTCATAAAACCGAAATTGGAAATCAACTAGAAAAAAAATAATTAACAAGTGTGCTAATTAAAGAATTCTCTCGTGTATCATTATAATAAATAAAAGTTTGAAATGATTGAAAGAGAAGTGTAAATAAATAATTTAAATTTTGTCAACATTGTGACGCATGAGGTTGTTACAGGGTGACCAACACGACAAATTTGTTTTATCACAGTTATTTTCTTGTTTTGGTTAATAGAACGTGTCCCGGGTGCGTTTATGTGTCATTGTGGGGTTTTTGGGGGTACGTGGGGGTGTCTTAAGTGGGGAAACGAATTAATTTTTGTGTTTTTTGTCGTTTTTTGGTCGTTTGGTTGGCCAGCTTGGCCGCGCCATGAAAAACTCAAAATGGCGTCTCAGTTTATTATGTGAGATTCTCACATAAAAAGTGCTAAAAAACCCCCCAAAAGCCCCACTAAAATGTAATTTTCGGTCATAATGCGTAGAAAACCAAGTGTCCATGCGATCAAGCTTTAAGAAAACCGTGGTAAGTGCCTCAAAAGTGTCACTCTTGATGTGCCCCCTTGTTTTAGGTAGAAAATGGGTTGTGTTAGTAGTAAGCCCGATATAAACGATCAACACCCCAATATATTCCAAGTGTCAAACGTGAACGACCAAGGGGACTTGGTGAGCCCCGGAAAGCTGGAAGTCCGCGAAACGGAACTAGTCTTACACCAAAGAGGCAAAAACCCCACAGTGTGGCCCCTTCGGGCGCTACGCAAGTACGGCTTCGACTCGGAGATCTTCAGTTTTGAGTGCGGCCGTAGGTGCCCCACAGGCCAGGGCATCTACGCGTTTCGTTGTCGCAAAGCCGAGCAACTTTTCAACATCGTCCAACACCACATTGTGCGCAACTCCGACGAGAACCCCCTTATTAGCGCCATTTCGGACTCGATGGGCCCCCCTGTACAAAGACGCATACCGTCCCAGCCCGAGGGCTACCTCAATCCGCGGCCGAGTCTCAGCCGCCCCGGCTCGATCACCAGCAACGGCCCGGTGAGCCCCACCGAGCCCCCACACGAGCACAACAACAACAAGCGCGGCAGTGTGGGGGAGCACCAGTACACCAATTCGAGTGTCATCGCGGAGACGGAAGCCCCCAACTACGCCAATTTGGGGGGCGAGGGGGAGAGCCCCGGCCACTTGTACATGAATGTGGACGCTGCAACCAAAGACTCGGAGACGGGACATTGCTATGCCAATATTGACACCAAAGATTTAGAACATTTAAGGCCCCTTTTGGCGGGGGCGGAGGCCCCGAGTGTGCCTCAGACCCCAACGGCGCTTTATTTGACTGTTCATGAGGTGAATTACGCCGAATTGGATTTGGATCCGGTGAAAAGCGAGGCACAGGTGACCCCTGATAGCCCCCATAAAGCGAAAAGTTACGCTACGATTGATTTTCAAAAAACTAACGCTCTTTCGCAGTCGATAAATCCGCCAATGGAGGTCGAAGAAGGCAGCAGAAAAACTAGACATAATTCTACAATTAGTGATGTTACAACACGACACAGCAACTCGCTGAGTGACTAAAACACATCGAAATGTCAAGTTTTGTGATTCTCAATTGAGTTTTTTTTATTTATTTAATGAGGTGACCTTGTACGAAATTTTGCCTTTTTCTTTTTTTTTTTGTAGAGTAGAGGAGAAACATCGATTTTTGGAGTGGTCATCTCGTTAAGTATTTGTGATTGTCTACCAAAATGCCACCTTTTTTTCTAACGATACAAATTTACAAATGCCAAAGATATTTGATACTTGTTTCAAGTAATGGAAATGAGAAATGACGTATATATTATTTTACTATATTATACATTGCGCAGAAAAGTAATTAATTATAGTACAGTTGAATATATTATATTTAATTTTTAATAAATGATATTTTACAAATTACGAGTTTTATTTCACCACAACCTGGGCTTAAAACGATTATTTATGTATTGGAAAAAAATAGTAATAAATAGTAAAAATAATTGTTTCAAATTGTTAAAAAAATCAACAATTAGAAACCGTCAATTATAGAGTGTATTGTTGGTTGCCTAGATTTAATAATTACTACTTTTTTAATATCTAATTAATAAAAAAAATTATACTAAAAAACGTTACAAAAAAATAAAATTCGTAAAAAAAAGTAATTTATTTATTTTTCGACACTGTCAAAATTTATGGTTTTTCTCTCGTGTAAGAAAGTTTAATAATTACCACAAAAAAGTGAGTTTGACACTTTTATCAAAAAAAAAGTATTTTTATAATTAAATGCTGTTATTTAATAATAGTGTTGCGTAATTTTCTTATTTTTTAAGTAATTTATTGCTAAAAAATTATTTTTTACATTAGAAACCGCAACTGTCAATTACACGGTGTATTGTCGGTTGTCTAGATTCAATAATTACTGGAAATTGTTTATCAAAAAAGTTAAACTAAAAAATGTCACAAAAAGACCTAATTGATAAAAAAGAAATAATTTCAATGCTTGATTAAGCCACACCACAGTCTAATTTTTGAAAAAAATACTGAAAAATGTCACAAAAAGTCAAATGCTGAGAAAAAAATGATTTTTAACACGTTTAAGACTACAAGGTTGGTATTACTGTCACATTTTACTTACTTAAAGGGTGCGACGTCACATTTATCGTGTTTTTTTTGCAAAAATAAATGCCACATCAAATGTGACTTTGAAAAAAGTCAGTATCTTAATATTTATATAGCACATTTATTAAAAAATGTTGCGTGATTTTATTATTTTTTTGAGTAATTTATTGCTAAAACTGTCAAAAAAATTTTTTACAATTTGAAACCGCAACTGTCAATAACATAGTGTATTGTTGGTTGCCTGGATTTAATAATTACTTAAATTGTTTACTTTTTTAGTATCTAATTAATAAAAAAAAACTATTAAAAAATGTTACAAAAGGCATATTTTGTAAAAAAAAGGTAATTTCAAGGTTTGATTAAGTAAGACTACAGTCTAACTTATGAAAAAACACTCAAAAATGCCACAAAAAGACAATTCCGGAGAAAAAAAGGGATTTTTAACAAGTTTAAGATTATAATAAAGTTGGTATGACTGTTACATTTTACTTACTTAAAGTGTGCAATCACATTTATCGTGTTTTTTGCAAAAAAAATGTGACTTTAAAAATTTTGTCAAAAGAAAGTCTCTTACTATTTAAATGCTGTTATTTAATAAAAATGTTGCGTAATTTGATTATTTTTTAAGTAATTTATTTCTAAAACTTTTTTCTACATCAGAAACCACAACTGTCAATTACACCGTGTATTGTTGGTGGCCTGGATTCAATAATTTTTACAAATGTTTTAAATATTTAATTAATGTAGAAATTATGAAATGCCACAAAAAGACATAATTACTAAAAAAGTCTGTATGACTGTCACATTTTAATTACTTAAAGGGTGCAAAATCGTTATTTTTACCATTAAAATAATTACCACAGCAAATCTGACTTTTTATTAAAAATAATGCGCTATGTAATCAAAATATTGCTTGATTTTATTATTTTTATTATTATTTAAATAATTTATTGCTAGAACTTTTACAAAATCTGTACGGTGTTGATGTATTGTTGGTTGCCTAAATTTAATAATTATTACAAATTGTTCACTTTTTTAAATATTTATACGATTTAAAAAAAATAATAAGGTTGGTATAAGTGTCACATTTTACTTACTTAAAAAGTGCAATAATTGATCAATTGTTACATTAATCGTGTTTTTTTGCAAAAATAATCACAGCAAATGTGATTTTGACACATTTGTCAACCTAAGATATTTAATATTTATTGAAACATTGTTATGTAATAAAAATATTTCTAAATTGTATTATGATTTGAGTAATTTGTAAAATTTAAATTTTTAATAATAAAGAACCGCAACTAACAATTACACAGTGTATTGTTGGTTGCCTAGATTCAATAATTACTAAAAAAATAATTTTATTTTTATTCGTCAAACTAACTTGATTTTGTTATTATTATTATTACTATTAAAGACTGTATAAAACAGCAAATTGTTTAATTTTATTTAATTTTTCAAAAAATAATTATTTGTTTTAACAAAACTTTAATTGCATCTGATGTTGGCCAATTAAGGTGATTATTAGAAATGACTTGTTTACTTTTGTAATTTTTTTTTCAATTCCGTTAATCACCTTCTGGCGAGATATTACACTCCGCCTTGTTTATCTTATTAGAAAATTTCTAATACCGCTGAAAAAACTCAACTTCAGGTTCTAATTTATATTCCTGGCAATTATTATTAATCCTCGTATGTTTTTCAGTCATGAAATAACAACGTAAAAACGTCTATGCAAATGATTTGTAAGGTGAACTGCACTGTTGAATGGGCCAAATCCGGGCGCTGATTGGCCGCTGCGTTGCAGGTTGGTCGTTTGTGATTGGTCGGCGGTTTACTCGGACCACGCCCACTTTGTACCTTCCTATCGGCAGGTGCAAAGTTGCGCTGTTGCCATCAGAGACGGATTTTGACACTCATTCATGATTTTCATGATGAAAAAATGTCAACAATTGTGAAAAATAATATAAAGTTATGGATAATTACGAGTTTGTGGTTTTGCATGATTGCCATTCTGTGAAATAATTACAACAGAAATAACTTGAGCATAAATCACATAATAATAATAATAATGACCTTCGGTTCGAGGAAAAGTGCGCAATAGAGACATAAAATCCGATGGGAAAATGTGGTGAAATGCTAATTTTTCAATTTTTTCACGCTAACGTGGAATTTTTTGGTTGGGAAACGCTTTGTAGAAATTTTATTGATCATGTCATTTTAATCAGATTTTACAACTTTGTATTACTTTTCGTTCAATTTTCAAAAATTATAGCAAAATTTTAATAATTAATTAATTATTTATCTCAGAAATCTTTTTTTTACTCAATTTATGGGAAAATGTGGACTTGAACTAATTAATTCATAAATTGAGTTTAAGTGAATTTTTATCGGACTTTGTTTGTGGTTTAAAGTCGATATTTCAGAACCAGTTGTGATTTCAACGATAGGTCAAAGTACAATTTTTGCACCGAAAACAATTTTAGAAATTCTATTGTGTTTAAAAAATTCACTGAAAACAAATACTTTATTAAAAAATATACTTTAAATTAGCCAAACTGCTGAAAAAGACGGTGATTTCAATGCTCCATCAAGCCAAAAACATTTAATTGTTAAGTAATTTAATTTAATTATTTTTTTAGTGTTGAATTAAAAAATCTTAAATGTTTGTGGTGACTTTAATGCTTAAAATTCTGAAAATGGTTTTTTCCTATTTTTTAAATTAATTTAAAATAATGT